ATTTTATGATTCTCATCCCTTGGTACTAATAAATATTTAACTATGAGAATATGATATGGTTAGGTTATGTATATGTATAATCGATTGAAAGAATCAATATTACCTTCTTAGTTCTTATTCATTAATGTTTTCTTTCATTATACAAATCAAACTATTTTGTAATATCTTCATATATAACTTTATGCAAATATAATGATAAACGAGTCTTAATTATCAGTCTTGTTGACTAATTAAGTATTGAATACCAAATTGCAAATTTCGATGTCACAACAATTCATCAAATCATAAATATGACACTATTAATTAAATGATCAAATAATAAGCAGATAATAATCTGATAGCAAAACAATAATACATTAATGTACTAAACTTTTATAATCTACTTCGTAATAAACTAGTAAGATCAGTATGGCTAAACTTGAAACATAACATGATATGTATTTATATAATTAATGAGAATTTGCATATAATATGATGCCTTAATATGAAATGATGAAGTCTCAGCTTGATATAAAACTTGTTAACCAACAAAAAGTTAGAAAGTAGTATCAAATTTCAAACCAAAACCATTTAATTGCCCGAATCCAAACGACTCGATAAAAAACAGATTTTTTGAAATAAAAAACAGACCCAAACCGTAATATAGTAAACCTGAAATAAAACAGATCCGAATAATGTTAAATCGTAGAAGAAATGAACCCATTAACGAACCGAATCAGTTATAAACCGAACTAAGATAAAACTGACCAAAAAAGATCTGAATAGTTTCTAACCCGAAACCGTTTGAACTGGGATAAAACCGTTTATACCGAACCGTTAACAAACCGCAACCCGTCTGCACCGAACCATTTACTACCCGTACGAATTTAAACCGGGATACCGTTAACAAACCGCAACTCGTCTGCACCGAACCGTTTACTACCCGGATCGTTTACAACCCGAATTGAATTTAAACCTTTATAGAATAAACCGAAACCAAATCGAACCGATAATTATTTAAACCGAACTGAAACTGACCCGTAAGACATTTGAACCGATTTTAAACCGACCCGATTTCAAACCGAACTGCTTTCAAACCGAATCGAAACCGAACTGTCAAACCGTTTTGACAGTACTAACCATTGTTGATGAGAAAGGAATAAGGAATGAAGATGCATGGAAGGACGAAGATGACAGAGATAATGAAGGAAAAACTTTTGTCATCTCATCACATGTACGTTATTTTCTCACTCAATCAGCAAAGAAATCCGCTACAATATCTAAATAATTACAAAAATGTCATTTTAGAAACAAATTCAGAATCTCAATTGAGAAAGTAGGACTTGCTCAAAAATTTAATGGTATACTGGTATACCCTTGAATTATTAAAGTTACAACATTATATCTTTCACTCGATTGTAAAGCGCACCTACTAAGGTCTAAGAGGTTATTAATTGGTCGGTCGAATTTTAAATTTCCACAAGAAGACTACACATTATATTCTTGAATCGTCAACGGGTCAGTCTAACTTTAAATATCCACAAGAAGACTAGCGTTTACTCCACATGCATTTTATATTCTTAAATCATCAACGATTACCAGAAGCTACTTCCATTATTGCCGAAGCTCACTGCACGAAATTTATGTGCAAACTTTGAAAAAATTTTATCCTAAATTTTCACTGTAACATCAAAACAGATTAACACTCCTTCAAAAAAAAAAAAAAAAAAAAAAAAAAAAAAAAAAAAAAAAAAAAAATCTAACAGATTAACAGTATTAATTTAGTATATGTGTTATGTGCAAGTTCGAGTAAAGTTTAATCACATTGATTAATTGAAGTAAATGACCTCAAGTTTATAATCCAAGCGGACTATTCCTTTTCATTGTCAATTGGTAACGGTTTATAATATAACCTAGCTTTTGGGTTGGGCTTTTAATTCTCCCTTGTGTCTTCTCCATCTGTCAAATTTGTTTACTTCACCCTTTTTTTTAATTTTATTTTTATTTATTAATGTTCTACTTTGTGTACAACGGGTGTACATTAGTTTTATTGTAAAATGGTTAATTTGAGCGTAATTTTAACTATTTTATGGTAACTTTAACCACTTAAAGGGTAACTTTTAATTTGTCATTGATTTGAATTTTTTTAATGTGTAATTTCTTATAGATACGTGATTATATGTTATAAAGACTAAATATGATTAATCTAATACATTATAAGTTTTTTGTAAGATAAAATTTATTAATAAAAAAATAATAATTTTTGCAGTATAAAGGGTAATTTTTAGTACTTTTAACATAACTTTAATCCGTTTTACAATAAACTAACGTACACCCGTCTTTTTGAAGAATTTGTGATAGTTGGCTTTTGTAATTAGAAATGTTTGGGGAAAGATAAGTAGTTGTAAGAAAAAAAACACAAATTCTCCAAAAAGATGGGTGTACGTTATTTATTGTTAGACGGATTAAAGTTATCATAAGAGTATGTAAAGTTACCCTTTATACAACAAAAGTCTGTTATTATTTTTCTAATAATAAATTTTATGTTACAAAAAATTATAATGTATTAGATTAATCATATTAGCCTTTGTATTATGTAATCATGAATCTATAAGAAATTACACATTAAAATAAGATTCAAATCAACGGCAAATTGAAAGTTACCCTTTAAATAGTTAAAGTTATCTTTAAATTAACCGTTTTACAATAAAATTATCGTACACCCGCCTTACACAAAACTTATTATTAAAAAGAAATGTTGATAAGTAAGATATTATAAACGATATGAGCAACTACAAGAGGAGGCTTGAATTACAATTGGCCTGATCCTTAGTCCCTAATTTCACGAAATATAAAACTGAAATCATAAAGAAAATTAAAAAGTGCAATGTAGATTTTATGAGGAATTGAAAACTTTTCTTACAAGGGAAAAGTTGAAGTTAAACTTCGATCTTGTAAGGATTTCACTATAAAAAAAACACCTCTTCATTCACTAACCTTAACCTCTCCTCTCTCTTCTCTCTATTAAACTCTAGCCTCCATTATTAATTTTGAAGGGACTTCCATCAGATTCCACCGGTGGAAAGCCCCAATCTTTTATTCTCTTACGTTTTTTTTTTTTTTTTGCATTTTCTTAGGTTGTAATAATGTCTTTCTCGAAAGAAAGAGTCTATCTTCATTTGAAAGACAAGGTTTTTCCAATCTCATTTGAAAGACAAAGTTTTTCGAACTCCTTCAAAAGACAAGGTTTTATTTGCGCTAGCGCTTAATATAGTTTCTAGTTGTGCGGGGTTATGATTGATTATTGTTTGGATTCGGGTTACAAAATCAGTAAAAGAATTTTCTCTCTCACAATCAATTATGAAGTGGCCACGGCTCCACTCAAAAAGTTGTATGAGACAACGAATCGAGAATGAGTCGAATTGTATATCTATGTATTTGGATTCTTAACTCTTTCCCGGATAATTTTTATTTGATTTTGTTAAATTTGTTTTCATTATCGTTAATTGTCAATTATAGATGCCGTATATCTTTCATTAATGAAATTTAATCTAATGTCCTTTAGGACTTCTTTCCAAAAAAAAAAAAAAAAGAAAAAAAAGAAAAAAACCTCTTCATTCACTGGGCAAAACTCCTAGTTACGACGAACTACCCGCTATATATCGCTAATTGATATATCATTTCGCAAGGGTTCTTTAGATCTACTACAATATCAAAATATATAATTGAATAAATTTGTTGTAATTGGTAGATAATGTAGAATTAACCTTTGTCGCTACACCAAACAAATCTTATCAATTGAGATATAAATCTCAATGTATTGATAGATATATAACCCATAATTAGGAATTATTATATTAGATCATGGGCCATGCACATAAATTTTGAATAATTATTTTTATATTAACATTGTATAAGTAAATTTATATAAAAAATATTATAATGGATTTTATTATAATATAGTCTATCTGTCAAATAGATATTTTAAGATACACATTTGACTACACATTGTGAAAGGACATATCAAATCTTTTATTTATGTTAATAAGAAATTTTGTTTTATATTTAGGTTTATAATTGGCAATATATATAAGGACCAATCAAATCTTTTATTTAGGTATAAAATTTGTTTTTTATATAAATTTTTTTGTAAAAATTAACAAAAAAAAAAATTTGAAAAAAAAGACACACTAGAAAAATGGTACGTGTTATTATTGATTTGTCTTTTAGTATAATGTTATTAAAAACTATCTAGTACGGAGCGAGTAATATGATAGAATAGAGGTTTACCGTGAATATAATATGAACACTAGATGATAAAAAAAAGAAACTATGGAGTTACCATCAACCAAATGATTAGTAGTGTAGCCCATAGGAACAACAAAAAGTAATAATAATGGAATAATAAACAGAAAGGGTCAAAGGGAGGCAGCTATAAAAAGAGAGAGGAGAGAAAAAAACTTAATAAAAAGGCGGGCTGCTATAAAAAGCTCGAAACGCATACGCGTACAATATTACAAGTAGTCTTGCTTGATAATAATTAATATTATTTGTGGTTGCCTTTTTTCCAAAGAAAAGTCTTGATAATAATAGTCTTTGCTAGAAAAAGGTTCGCTACTTGGATTAATAGTTCATAATAGAGAGTGAAGTGAGTTTCCAAGAAAAACATGAGAATAAAAATATCTACATTCATTGATCCAACATTCTTAGTTTCTTATCCATAAATAAAGGCTATAAAAGAGAGATAGGGCATGAACAATTGCAAGCAAACTTTCATTGCATGAATTCAAAACACTTCATTCAAACCACACAAAACATGGATGCACAAAGCCAATTACATGCTACAAAAAAGCTATATGATGCAGCACTCAAGGGAGACGTACCTTCATTGCTCAACTTGCTCGGAGAAGACCCACTTATCCTTGATCGATGCATTATCGAAAAATCAGGAAAGTATATGCAGTCGCCATTACATGTAGCAGCAAATTTTGGGCATGTAAACTTTACTAAGAAGGTAATAGAAAAAAAAGCCAAAACTAGTAGAGGTGGTTGATCACATAAAAAGATCATCACCCCTGCACATTGCCTGTGCCGAAGGGCACTTGCAAATCGTTGAAGCCTTGCTTGTGGTGAATTCGAGCATTTGCTACACACATGACCAAGATGGTAAGACGCCAGTTCACGTAGCTGCCATAAATGGTAAAACTGACGTACTTAGAGCTCTTCTTAATGTAGAGCCACAAGCTGCTCGGGAGCGAACTATGGGTGGTGAAAGTGTGTTGCATTTGTGTGTGAAACATAAACAAGGGCACTTGCAAATCGTCGAAGCCTTGCTTGTGGTGAATTCGAGCATTTGCTACACACATGACCAAGATGGTAAGACGCCTGTTCACGTAGCTGCCATAAATGGTCAAATTGACGTACTTAGAGCTCTTCTTAATGTAGAGCCACAAGCTGCTAGGGAGCGAACTATGGGTGGTGAAAGTGTGTTGCATTTGTGTGTGAAACATAAACAACCAGAGGCTTTGAGGTTTTTGGTAAAAACGATGGATGATGGTGAGTTGCTTAACCTCGATGATGCCCTTGGTAATACCGTCTTGCACCTAGCTGTGGCTGCCAAGCAATCCGAGGTAAGATGAAAATGAACGACGTACTATAATAGTAACTTATTAAATAGTCTTTTTATTTTATTTTTTTTCTTATCTAAACAAAGTGTTAAGTGTTAACTACTAATACTGTACCACGCACCATATTGGAAAATTTAAAGTAGGGATGATCTAGACTTTGATAGACTCACCGCTAAAGCTGGGCACGGGACGGGCTGGCATGCGGGCCGCTCGGCACGGCACGCTTCTCGCGGGGCACGGCAAGGCCCGGGGTGGTGGCCGAGCACGGCACGGTGGCCCGCCGGCGTGCCGTTGCCACGGACAAGAGCTGCTCTTTTCGGCATGGCACGGCACAAGCCCACCCCTTTGCCCACCGTGCCAGCCCGCCAGGCACGGCCTTTATATATAATATATATATATATATAATATATATATATATATATATATATATAATATATATATATATATATATATATATATATATATAATATATATATATTTTTTTTATATATATATATATATATATATATGTATATATGTATATATATATATATATTATATATATATAT